TAAGAGAGCCACGAATGCCCCAATTCCGAGACTTCACATCCTTGCCTAGACTGTATTACCCAATCCTAGTAAGAAGACCCACATTGAAGAGCACATGTAAAATCTGTTAGCTGCATATCCCCATACACCAAAAAGCAACTTCTGATATCATATGTGCAATCAGTACCACACAAAAGCCAAATCTGTAAAAGCATCCACAACCTTACATTCTGTCATTAAAATCACAAATTGTTGAAGCCCCAATGGGAAGAAGGATTATTTACTTCCCTTAATGTATCAGAGTTGCTCCAATCAAAGGAAGGTTGTCTATTAGAAAATTTGATTCACATTCTACAGATGGAATACAATCTGAAAGCAGGCAAATATAATTATTCTCTTCCTACTGATACTTATCTTTATCTTTATGATTCAACAGTTAAAATTCAATTATCAAATAAACTCATGAAAGAACAACATTTTAACACCCCAATTTTTTATTTTTTGGGGTCATACATGGAATTGGTAATAACACAAAAGGAGCACTTAGGCCCCCCCCAACCCCCAGTAGACCCCTCAGATTCTCACATCATCAATCATATGGATGATTCTTCTCACATTGCAGGTACATTGTTAAAAAATTAAAGCAAATGCTTCAAAATCCAAACCATATAAAACCTTAACTGATCTAAGATACTCTCTCTAGATTATCCACTGATAAAAAAAAAGTGAACTGAACTCTTATCCCCACCAAACTCATTAAAAGCTTGTGTGGAATATGCATCTAAAACTATAGTAAGCAAACAAAAAAAGCACTCATGGATTTGCAAGAATGTCGGAGCCACTCAACTTTGCAGAAATTAAAGAACATGAATAAGAGCTTTAGTAACAGTTTAAGGTTTTCTAACAACTACTCTCGTTCCCCAAAATTTGGATAATAGCCTTCTCCCTTGACATTGCTCCCTACAGTTGGAAAAATGCCCATCTCCCCTCCCATTGCCCCCTAAACAATTAACTTCTTTCAGTAAAATCGTTAGGTGCTATTAAAACACAACATTGATACATGAATAAGAAATAACTTTAGATCTTGGTGCAAACTTCTCTCTACAAAATAATGACATCAATTTAGTAGTACACTACACCATCCACTGGCACTAGGTCTTGGCTCAGCCACTAAGTGGCAATAGCTTATGTGAAATCCAGGACTCATACCACATTATAGTCCTATTCCTATACCAACAACAGATTTGTGTCCCAGCAATTCCTTCAGAAAGAGCAATAATATAGCAAACAAATTCGAAAAAAGAGAGTAATGTAGCAATACTCATTAAACATCACAAAGCGTAATGCTTTCAGTACTACTTGTGCACTAATCGGGTCAGAAGTCCAATATGCAAGACGAAGGCTTAAGCCAATACATAGAAATGCGCAGTATCACCGAGCAAAAGGTTCAGCCCAGTCAAAATCATCATACACAGCAACAAATAATACACAAGTGACAAGGCCCATCGTTGCGCTTCCCTATTTCATTAACTACGACAAAACACACTAGCTATTTAGCCAATCAAGGAAGCAAGCACAAAGAAACTCTGACCCCCAATCATTTCCAAGACCACAATTTTATATCAAAATATAAAGTATAAGAACCGAAATCAAGGAGAATAGAACCAACCTATATCTACTGAAAGATTGAGAATAAACTAATAACAAACATGGATTTGTGTATAGAAAAAGTACGCTTACGAGTAGGTGCCAATGACAGGGCCGAGTAAGAGGGTGGCGCTGATCCAGTTTTCGGAGACCTTGTGGTGGATCTTGGTGGTGATGTCCTTCCAGAGGCCAGGCATAATCTTCTGCTGAAACGGCGAGAGCGCGTACACCACCGCCTTCAGCTTCACCGGCTGTTTCCCCATCTTTTTCTTTGGCTTTTCCAATTCAGTTATCCAATCCTATTCTAGGGTTTCGAATGCACTAATTAATTGGGAATCACGAATTTGGTGGGTGTTTTTTGCTTCCTATTCTAGGCAGAGATTATCTAGGGTGGACTTTGAAATTTTCTCGCCTGTTTTGGATTACTGGGCTGGGCTTTTGTCCATCGTCTATTGCCTTTTTATGAGCCCATTTACTTTAAGTGACACTTTACTTTTCTTATTTTTGTGGGGCTTAAGATAAGAATCAATTTGTTCACCAAAATGCAACCGTTGCTTGGCAAATAAGAGCCCAGAGACTGTTAAGGCGCCGTTTGGATTGAGAGAACCACTGGGGCTAAATAAAAAAAAAAGGAATTGAAGGAACATGATTTGTTTTCGGGTTAATATCATAAACCTCCCTTGAGGTTTCTTCTAATCACACCTAGCACCCCTCATGTTTTCAAAATCACACTTGGGATCCCTAGAATGACAACTTTGGTATCATTGTCAACCCCTCATTATTTTTGTTCCACTTTTACCCTCCTTGTGAACTCTATTAGTCTATTTATGTAGAGTTAATTTCGGAAACCTCCCTTGAGGTTTTCCCTAAATTATGTAAAACTATTCTGTAATTATTAATATTTGTTATACAAAGTGTAACTCTAATTGAACTATTTGTAAAACTTATCAACACAAATACAATTATTACATATTGGACCCATATGTACACTAACAATTTATCACATTTCTATAGTAACGATGTACAAGAAGTTTACATAAAATTACAAAATGTTCAAAAAATGTCACACTATTTAGGGATGGTTGATCTAACAACTGTTCCTATCCCACTCCCTAATATTAAATAGTCATGGAGTTTCCAGTGATGTTAACTTTTTGCATTTCCTAAGTGAATAATAACACAATCTAAAAGTAATTCAAGGATGATGGGAATTTATGAGTATATAGCATTAGCAAGCCATTTTTATTTGACAATAGGGTATCGCAATATTAATAACTTACAAACTCCATTCAACTAGGATGCACAAAAAGCTATTTATACTACCTCATTTTCACAAAAATGGAAGAGTAAGTTTATTTACAACTACAACCACATATTGAAACTATTGTCGCCATTATGAGAATCCATATTCACATTTTTTTTATCTCCGTTCAGATCAATGTAACATTTTTTAAACAATGCGTAACTCTATGTGAATTATTTGTAAAACTTAATAACAGAAACACAATCTATTATAAAGATGTATAAGAAGCTTGCATAAAATTACAAAATGTTCAAAACATGTTACACTGTTTAGACACGATTTTGTAGTGTTACCAAAGTTGGTGGGATGTGAGTTACATAAATAGAGTTCACAAGGAGGGTAAAAGTGGAACAAAAATAATGAGGGATTGACAATGATACCAAAGTTGTCATTCCAGGGGTGCTAAGTGTGATTTCGAAAACATGAAAGGTGCTAGGTGTGATTAGAAGAAACCTCAAGGGAGGTTTCTGATATTAACCCTTTTTTTTTTCTTGTTTAGATTGATTTTTGACGAGGGAAGAAAAGGAAAGAAAATCATCTAGTTATTTTGTAGATACTTGATTTTTCATCCAAAAGTGAACAGAAATGGAAGGACAGAGAACAAATTTTAAAAGGAATAATTTAATTGTTCTTAAAAGTCATTTTTATGCACATCCTTTTGCGTTAACTAACACTTGATCTTTCCTTTTCTTTTTTAATCCAAATAAAATTTCACCATTTCCTTCTTTTTCTCCCATAGTCAATCTAAACAAAATGAATGAAAACTTCTTCTCTCTATTCTCTTTTTCATTGTTTTCCTTTCCTTTAATCTAAAAGATGCATCTTTCTGGGGAAAAAAAGTTATTTGACATCTGGTTGAATAGTAGATGTATTAGATGCATGTCTGGGAATGGTTTCTATCAAGGTGTATATTTTAAGCGACAATAATAGGAATTTTTTAATTCTAAGATAAATAATTTTACCTTAATTAAAGTAGGGTATTAATAGAGGATGCTAGTATCAATTTCATAATGTAAATGAGCCTATAGAAAATCTTTTGACATAATAGTCAACTTATCCTAAATATTATTTCGCTTACATCATAAACACATTTTTCAACCCATCTTTTTATATTCTCAATCACCTTTTTATTTCACATACATCACATCATAAAAAATGTTACAATAATTATTTCAAATAATATTCCAAATAATATCCTATCCAAACACTCCAACTGTTTCGTAAAATAGTAGTACTAGGCTTGAAAATCAACCAAGTATAGATATCCAAACTCTTTTTTTTTTTTTTTTTGAAAAAAAGAAAGAAAGAAAGAAAGAAGAAAAGCACACTACCAATTTAGTAAATTATTGTTTACATTCTTCTAGGTTAGAGTTACGGGAATCAATAATGTTTTATTACCAGTCTATCACGTTAGCAGAATTTGGGTTTATTAAAGTCTCACACGTGAAAAGAACAAATAATGTGCCTGCACATTTGTTGTCCAAAATGTCTTGTCTCTCGAGGGAAGCAGAGTTTGTTTTGTAAACTTCCCAAGGACGTTATCAACGCTGCTATTGCTGATCTTTTTTTCTTTTTTCTTTTTTTTCGATACGGTAGCTTTCTATATTATATTATGGGAAAGGAAAGGGTCTGAAGAGATCCTGAGATAATTCGGAGGGAACTGAACCATCACCGGACCAGACAGGTACACTACACACCCGCTTAAATTTTTTAAGTAAGATCACATTTAATTTTGATAAATTGGTGGGAGGCACCAAGCCTTAATGCATAAGTTGAATGAAATGCATGGTTCTTCTTTCCAAAAATAATGAAGCCCTGCCTGTTTGATTTTTCTGGGAGAAATTCTTACGTCAAAGACTAGTAAAGCCATTAACAGGCGTAAATAGGGACAACTGATTACTTTCTTTGCATATCATCAAGAAGTACAAATCTTGTGATGACCAGTCGAAAATATCAACTCTGTCATGAGCTTTGCCATTAAGTCTGCGTAATGGACTTGTGAATCAAAAACCTTACCATATAGATTATTTGTACCCGTCAAAAGAAAGCCATGGAATTCTACACAGCCATAAATTGTCCACAAATAAAATTCGCCTTTGCACCCCGGAAAGAATTTTCTACATATACAAATGAGTTAACAACAAATAAATTCAATGCAATGCTACAATAAACGTCAGAAGAAAGCCTAATATTACAGTCAAGAAAAAAAAAAAAAAGAACATTTTCTGGTGGCTCCTCCACTTCAGACCTCACAGGCATATTGTGAGAGGCCAAGTTTGGGGCTAGACAGACCTGATGATCTTCGATGCAGTATTTATTATCGGCATTCGATGTGGATTGAGGGGTTACATGCTTCAGGAAATCTTTGGGAGGACCGTCCAGGAAATTGTGAAACCATTACCAACCTGTTTTAGCACGTTTCATTCCACTGGAACTGAATGGAGATAGACTGCCTCTTGGCTGAGGGCTCTCTTCTCTGAAACTGTTGTTCAGCATGGCTAGTTCTCTGAGCTGTTGCCTCTTGTACAAATCTTGTGACTCTTCCTGCAATGCAAAATGAAAATAAGGCAAAGGTTACTGACAATCAATCAGTAAGTTTGCATGAGAAGGTACTGTAGACTTTCTATTGCACACATGCATTTGCAAGGGAGAGAATTAGATTGCTTCGTCGATCTGCAGCAAGTATCATCCGACAGCCCCAAACTATATACCATTATGAGCTGATCTTAGCATTCTCTGTATAATAGTCGGATGAAACTAGGATGGCTTTGGGCAGAATCCAATTTGATTTATTTTTGCGGAATCACATGATTTAAGGATAACTGAGCAGACAATTTCAAATGGCATACATCAAACCAGGGATTCTCAATGTTGTAAAGGGGAAAAGGTTGGTCCTCGTAGAGTTCTAGTAGTAGTATCTCGTACCTATTATGGAACACAGGTCTAACTTCTTTTAAAGTAAGAATGATGGATGCTTATCCAATAGGCAGAGACGAGTAAATCATTCATTCACAATGGAGTGCTATAGATTCCTATGAAGACATTTAATGTTCGAATAAATGATAATATATACTACAATGTTTTTAAGTGCAAATGACATTGAGGTAAAAAAGATGAAAAAATTACCACCGGCTTTAGCAATTCTTCTATAATTCCCCTCGCTTGATTCATCCGTACATCAATGATATTGGCAGGTAATTCAGCCTCAATCAAAACGTGCAGTGGATCATTGAGGTGCTCATAACCTTGTCTTCCCCGTAAGCTCTCCTCCTTCAATCAAGGGTAGACAATAAGCTTAACAGGAAGAAGCATATTCAGTAGACTAGCGGGTTCGCCACAAGAAGTGCAGGTATAGTATCAGAGGGAGTTTGCCCAAGATTTTTAGCAAACTTTGAATGATGTCCTGATAGAAACAGGAAATACAATCTTAATCTATTCTCACATCTCCACCGCTAAACATAATAATACCTTGTCAGGGTCTTTGATTGAACCTTTTCCTCTAATAAATACGCGGCATCCTGTGGAAGCTTCCACTCTCTTCAGTGAATTACCTCGAGGACCTAATAGCCTGCCAACAAAATTGAACTATCTCCACAAAAACGTAATAAGCCTAAGCACTTGCAGATGCTTTTAATGATAAGAAATTGTACCTTAAATATGTTCTAGAACTGTAAATTGATGAAGACTAGACACAAAATAACTTCAACGAGCTTACGTTTGGATATCTGTCAACAGGTATGTCCAAGCGCAATACCCTCTTTGCAACATATGAACTTGGATTTCCTCCCGCTGATTGCCAGTCAATGGTCATTTCATCTGGTCCACCTAACAACTGTTGCAAAGATGCATGGAATTATTATCAATAACTGGGATGTAAATGTAATACATGGGGAAGAAAAAAGGAAGCCTGATGGTCCAAAACAAGGTAGCCTTGAAAGGCTATTCAAACACCAAACGAACTTAAATTTGTCTGCCAATTTTCTGAAGGCATGTATGTGCTCACCTCAGGGTGAGGGCTGTTTGGAAAGAATCCTAGACCTTTTGCTCCGACATTTGGAATGATGTCTAGAGAGGCCACATGACTTGGGCTTCCACGTAGTAGTCTGTCATATTCATCTATTCTTGGGTCGGAGATCATTCCTGAAACCCTCAGTATCTCTGTCAAAAGAAGTCAATTTTAGCAAGAATCCCTCTATGGCAAAGCATATATGTTTCCATAAACAGAAACAACTGTGTGGAGACTGTCTCACAATGTTGCTATAAATGACCACAAAAAGTAATTCAAGAATCGAAAATTAGATTAAAAGTGATGACTACGCTTGTAGAAATGGCAAACAGATGAAGAACTAAAGCAGATGCGAGACCTTTCAAAAGTAAAAATCATTTCCAAAAAACCAGATTATTCGTCTTTATACTAATTGACAACAGATATCAAATTAGATTAAAATCTGTTGGCACAAAAACACACACATAGTGGAAGCTATTTTAAACACAATAAAAATATGTGGGAAGGGGAAGAGAATAAACACACAAACAAATATCAAATTATTTATTAACTCAAAACTCAACAATAATAATATCAAGTCATAGTCTTTCGCTCACGTAGACTCACAAATCTCAACTGTGATGCTTGTCCTCAAACCTACTTTTCACGACTAAATCTAACAGAAAACTGGTAAGTGCAGTACAGTTCTGAATTTTGTGAACTTGAAGAATCCAACGTGTTCCTCTATCCCATTTTCTATGGTGAGAAACTGCTGTTAAAAGTTCTTCTTTGCCTGTTTTTATCAATTAAAATGCGCACGCTGCAGAGAGCTCGCACATCTGAATGTCTGTGGTATTTTTTTCCCCCTAATAGACTGAGAGGTTATCAAACACACAGTGTGGCATATGGTGATGCAATAGGTTATATCATTATACAGAAGGAAAAGGACATTTACTTCCTTGTTTCCTAGGGATTTTTCCATTAACAAGTTAAATGGGAACAACATCGAATTGGTGAAGCAATCGATCAGTGGAAGGCCTATCAAGCGTTTACGGAAACCCTCTGCAAAATAGCAGATGCTATGAAACTATAATGATCTCAGTATAGTCTCGAATCAAATTTAATTCGGAACACCTTATGCTTCAAAAAGGTTAGTTCTTTTGCATTAAACTGTGTGGATAGATAGTACATGCAATAAACAGAGCTTTTGAAATGCAAACATCTCTGATAAGCCAAAACAGAAGCAGAAAAATTTATAAAACAATTATAAATTGGATAGGAGATATGAACCTTGATTCAGCAATCGGGTGCATATTGGAAGGACCTGCATGAAAGGTACAAGCTTCTGTCTTTCTGCTAACAGCTCTGTCAAGTATTGACTACAGGAACATAAAGAACACCATCAACAACAAATATACTTAACAAATTAAAATAGTTGATTAAACAAACCAAAGCTAACATAAATTTCATGGTTAGAAAGTATTCAGAAAAGGCAAACCTTTCAACATCTGAATTGGTCCTTACAATTGGAGAGGCCGCTCTTGCTGGTGAAAAGTTCAAATTCTGTGTGTATAAGCTAGACATAACTTGCATGCTACGAGGGTCTGAAATTTTGCTTGGAAAAAGTTAACCTAAACAAGAAAAAGATCACAAAAGAAGAATCCAAAGCCAAGAAGTTTATGGGAAAGAAGAGAAATACTAATTAAAAGGGGACAAAACATGAAGAGTCTGGTCAGAGGAGAAATTGGAAGAAATCAATAAATACTACTACTAGTGGTACTAGTTGTCTGGAAATTGTGAATGTGGAATTGAAGGGCTAGTAGTAGTATATTTTTCTTGGTGAGTTGCAGTGAATTGGAGGCTTAAATAGGTGTGGGGTACATATCAGAACACGTTTCTGCCATCTGGGGTTGGAGGCCAAGATTCACACTCTTTGTTTAAAACTGTCAACCAAAGCTGTTGTTTTCGTTTTTACGGTTGCAGCCTCTGCTGATTGATTCTGGTGTGTTAGATTTTTTTTTTTTTCCATTTACCTGTAATTTAGATTGCCGCAGTAGATTTTTTTTTTTGGGTGGTATTTCGGGGCAAATCATATTAGTAGTAGTATTAGATGAGATTTTCGTAGGTTGGTCCCTGCTGCATGCTCCAAGGCCAGCTGCACAGGTAGGTATCACCAGAAACCACGCCAACAGTGTTGTTGCCATGCTATTTACTTGGGGAGCAGTTTCATATTTTTCTTTCTCTTTTTCGGTCGAGCAAAAAAGAAAAACGGACCGTATTTCCATTAAAATACATTTATTTTAGAAGATATTTTCTTCTTTGTTGGAGTCACTCGTTTCGAAACGTCGAGAAGTTACTAATTAGACATTGGGATGTTCGTTACTTAAAGTTAGTCATTTAAACATAAAGTCCTTTTCCTCACTGGATACAGGGCTATAAATCCAACCAAATAATTTGGTACTCAGATGTGAATTCGGCTCAAACCAAACTTGTACAAATTTATTTGTTTAGGTATCAATTTAAATCCAAACATAATTTTAAACTCAAAAATATTAACAAATCAATCAAGATCTTCATGTTGTCCGACTCGATATGTTCAGAAATATATACGGCAAGTAAATTTCATAAAAATATATCTAAAGTTTCCTACCTTAACTCCACTTCTTTCCCCCCCGGTATATTGCTTATCTTATAAAATAATAAGCATATGATACTCTTGTCTCTTAAATAGGTATAATTGATTTTAATTACATCCGTAATTCTTCGTAATAGATTTCTTGAATATCAAAAGGCAAAAATTAAGGGAAAAAGCAACAAACTAAGATGAAAATCTCGACCTAATACAACCTGAAATTTCAAACCAAGCCAAGCAAATCTTTGATTGTATGTGTTTGAACTCGATACTAAAACAAGTCAATCCAAACATTTAGTAAACATACATCAGAAATTTCAAACCAAATTAGATCAATTTCTTTAAAAAAAAATTATCGAACACAAGCCAAGTTTAAACATTTATTTTAATCGTCAAACCAATTCTGAACATACATCTATCTATCCGGTTCGTTGAGCCTTTTTTTTCAGCCCTAACTAGATAGGGATAATTTCATAAACCTCCCCTAGGATTTTCTATAATTTCACTTATCATCCTTGATATTTTAAAAATTACAACTACCTCCCTTATCCATTTAAAATGACAATACTGGTTTTGACATTCTAATGAAACTCCTTCTTCTATTATTTATCTATGCTTATACAAAAGATGGGTTTTTTGCATTTTTTTTCCTTTTCCCTTGTTATTCATTGCTCTTATATTTTGTCAGTAATATCATAGTATTATGAATCCCTAACCTTCATCGTGATCAAATGTCAAACTAGTAACATTTTTTTTGGATAACTTTGAATATCATACATTTTTTAGCTCTTTATTTATTTATTTTTCTAGTATCAAATCAATAATAACTAAAAAGTAAATGGCTTGCATAACTATTAAATTATGATAGTTCCACCACTTCACTATTCTACAAAAATTATCCATGACACTTTCTTCTCCATCTTAAAAGAATTTATATCTCTAATAAAGTACTATTAAAAGCAGCCTATCATAATGAGTTTTATTATCGTAGTTAATTATTAAATGACAAATATGAGCGTAAAAAACTTGACACACATTCTTTTATAATTGTGCTAAATTACTTTATAATTCTTTAGAAGAATAAATCAAACTTTATTAGAAGCGGACATTATAAGTTTTTCATTAAATTTTTGACCCTATTTTAAGGTTTAGTTACTAAAAGTGTGAAATCAAATGAGACAAGTGTAAATTTCAAATCCTTGAGAGAGCTTAGTGAAATTGAGAGAAAGCTCATGGGAGGTTTATAAAATTATCCCCAGTAAATAAAAGTAAAATTTTACAAGTCCTCCGCTTATTAACTTACAAAAAGATGTTTTTCAGATGGTACCAATTAATTAGATATATATAAAAAATAATGTTGTATTTAGTTAAGTTGCAAAAAAGTTTTATGTGAAAAAAAAAATTAACAAACACTTTATTTAGTCGTTTGAGGTGCAGAAAATGATTGCTTCCCTGAGACCCAACATAACTGATGAGAATATTAGTCAGATGAGCTTGAAGTCTTGATTTGATTATCAAATTTTACGTTTTCCTTCTTTGAATCTTTCCCCTTGTATAACTTGAAAGCACTCTTTAAAAAAAAAAAAAATTAAAGGAAATACTTACTTGGGGGTTGAGGAAATTTTGTGCTTCCATGCTTTTGTTGTTTACTCATGTCAATAATTGATTTCATTTAAATCCTTTTCAAATGTCCAAATCAGATAGTAATGAGTCCTTATTTTAAGTCGTCATGTTAATTGATGTGTTCCTTTGTATATTTCTTTAAAAATAGCCAACGCAGAACGGTCGCTGGAGTCCGAATATTCGCATCGTGGCGGATTGCGCTCTATGTACAGTCGCGGAGCTTATGAACTTATATATTATTAGTATGCTACACAAAACGACATAAAAACTATTTATTATAATTCTAGATTTTTTCTAATCCTCTCCTTTTATGGTCAATTTGCCTCAAGCATTCAAATGTCAAGACCCTATTTACCACTACCACTGTTCATTAGTCCATCCATCCTACTTCCATAGTTTTTTTTTTTTTTTTTCATCTTTTGGGCTTCCATTTTTGTGTCTATCTCAGGGGGCAAAAGAAAGCAAAATTACAGAGAAGCAGATTTTGCCTTTTTTTTTTTTTTGGTGGTGGTGGTGGGGGTGGTGGTGGGGGGGGGGGGGGGGGGCTCAATAAGTACCCGTAGATTCAAGTTTATTCAGGGTTACAAGATAACGACGAGAAATATGATGGTTTGCCAAAAATCAACCACATGTTTCACTCAAACAAAATTGTACAGGGTCGACTTTTTTCTCCACTTAAATGTGTTAGGTGGTAGAATACGACTTGAATATATCCAAACAGCCAATTAAGCAGACTAATCTGGACCGCACCACTAATCCTGATGCCTGCATGTGTAGGACTAGTAGATTAAGGGTGGGTTAGATATCCAGCTAGCAGCTGTTATCAGAAGAAGGAAGACCAGCAGCAAACGATGCAGACGACAAGTATGTGAAGAAACAGAAACAGAAGCAGCAGAAAGCAGCAGCAGCCTCATCTGCCCACAACATAGAACGTCTTAGATTCGATACTGCGACAACAATTCTACATCATGAGTTCTACATGACAAAACCTTAATAGTTGTCACGAGCAATGGTTACAGCCTTAAATTAAATAGGTGCTACTAGCACTTGCTCCTTTACAGTCTACACCCCATCTGCAAACCTTAATAAATAGTGCTATGGTTTTTCCTAAATATATAGCAGTATACAGCACCCACTCCAATCTCCTGAAAACTGTCAACCCCACCCGAAGCGAAAACTGCCACAGCTATCCTAATCAGGGGGATGCTAATTAAGTCATGATTTAATATACTGTAGTAGTAGTATTAAATTAAACCAACCAACCACTAGTCTGCGTGCAAACTGTTGAAAAATTGTCTGATTCTGTCCGCAATCGATATATTCCCCTTCACAAACTTGGAGAATTAATTAAGAGGGATGATCAGGTGTGTTATGGTAAAGGGCCACAAGGGGGGAAGCATTGGATTCCTTTAAAGATTGCCTGGAAAGTACTACATGGCAGTGCACGTTGGGCCGGAGACAACAATGCGTGGATTGCAGTTCGTTGATCTGTGGGAATTTCTTGGTCCTAGTCTAAATTAGTCCTCTACTCTCATCCTCTACCCCACAATTCGTTGTCGATATATATATATATATATATATATATTAGATGCAAACCATCCATCCTAGCCAGCCAGTGTGGTGACTGGCGACGGCCGACGGTAGTGGTACTACGAATACTACTAACCAAAATCATATCTCCATCATGTATGTATCCTTGTTGTCTTTTTATGTACGTGAAGGTTTAACTGCATCGACACAATTTGGACCTTGTCTAGTAGAACAGGGTGCATTAGAAACTTGATATTGCATTATGAGTGGGTGTTGGAATCGATTTACTGCCTATTGCACATCGAAAATATTTGATCATCGAGAAGGGGCAAAGACTGTAAAAACTCTTTTAAGTGTTTGTATTGAATTTTAACCTGTTACAAAGGCTGTCTAAAAATTTCCAAACCTATAGAAGATACCTAGACCGATCAGTTATTTCGTTCTCATTAACCAATATATCTACCTGCACATATGATTATCCAGAGCGTCCCCGAGTTCTGACGCGGTAAAAGAAAAAGACAGCGTATTATGGATCATCATTGACATTGCCACTGCTAGTTCTGGAGTCTGGAGCCCCAGTTACCTGTGGGAGTATTTTAGTTTCTGTTTTTCTTCCCTCTTTTCTCTGTTCCAGAAAGAAAATCACCAGTGGGGTATAGAAAAACAAGACACATTTGGTAATAGGCAAGTCCTGTCCTAGTTGCGTTTTCTGTCTTCAATTCATGAAAGCTGTATTGGGACCTCAACTGGCAGCTGCCCAGCTTGGCGAATCCATCCATCTAAAACGCTCTCTGGAATGAGGCAAAATTTAATGCAGCAGTGGATTGAAAGGTTTGACTAGTAAAACGTAGGCCTTGTTTGGCAGGCAAGTTTTTTGTCAAATTTGTCTGCTACAAATTTTTTAAAAAATTTCAACTATAATAACTTCAAAAAACTTTTTAAAATTTTTAAACTATACACTTCAAAATATTCAAAAAAATTTTTAAAAACTTCTACAGTAAGTTATAATAAAATTTCAGACAAATACCCAAAAAAACTCACTTATCAAACGGAGCCATAAATTAGTTGAGAACTTGAAATTTGAGTGATCTAAGATTGCGGTCATCAAGTAGTCATTCTTCAACTTGGCCTTTGACATACTGTACTACCACCAACAACGTCGTACTCCTATTATTTTTGTCGTCAAGGGTCAAGGGCCAAGGCTGGAATTTCCAGGACTTAGTTCAGAAGTTCGATTCCTGCTCTTTTATACTTCAAACAATGCACATAGCTCAGACGTCTCCGGAGAAGCCGCAAACCAACCAGGATGTTTCTTTTACAATGAAAATGGAAAAAGAAAAGGGATTGGTCAGATTCGCACCCTTGATGCATAAATGACTTGTATTGTTAACATTAATACTAACTTGCACCGTGTAAGTGTAGATTTAAGATGAAGGCGTGTGGATTTAACTTCATGCGGGGTATTACCCATTGACTCTTCCATTTTGAGTTGCATTCCGTAATTGGGCTGAATGGTGCAAGCTGAGCTTTGATGGAGTCAACACTGACCGGCATGAGATGATCTATTACTTTTGTAACAGATTAACCAGTGCCATATGTATCTTCTGTTGCGTATTTCTCAACTAAAAAAAGGGGATACTTTAGCGGGGTTTTTTCCGACAATGACATGGGAGAGCAGAAAATCTCTTTGCCCAGCTTATTAGACAATCAGCACAGTAAAAGTAAAAGCGCGTTCCCTATATCCTTCGTCCTTGGCTTTGGGTTCGTTTCTTTTGGACTTCGGCTTGTATGGTTGATTTGCGCACTTCCATGGAAAGGAAAACAACACCGGCAGAAAGAGATTGAAGATCAATTTCGCAAAAGTTGGATCTTCTCAGATGCTGGTTGCACTTGAAGAAGGACTAAAGTCAGAGAGACAATGACTTGATCCGCCCCTCGTTTTGTCCTTTTCCAGGTGTGAATCGATTAACAAGTAGTAGCGTATAACAAAGCAGCCAACGTGTGCTGCTGCTGCTGCTTTCTTTATTGACTACTAATCTAAATATACCTTACCTCAACATCTTGTGTCACGATTTTAGCAGTGACAACTAATATTTCAGCAACCAAGAACCATGACCATGAGTTGGAATTGAGAACTTTTGAGCAATGTCCCTTTTTTTTTTTTTTTCTTTTCCCTTGTACTTGATTGTCCAGCTCAACGTTTGGACTATGTGACAGAATGATGAGTTCACATGCGGCCATAAGCACCAATCGGACATGGTGGAAAGGTATTTGCACAAGGAGACATTAGAGGACTGCAGAATGCAGAAAGCAGATGACAGAATATGGTGGACTGTGCAGCATGTGTTGAGATCAGTAGGAATCCTAAATGTCTAAATCTTAACTGGTAGTGCTAGGATGCGCAAATTCATGGTAAGACGATAATTGCTTTACATTGCTAAAACGGATTAGTAATATATACACTTTCTTGTTCGTAGTTCCTAGTTCACTGTTACTTTTGCAGGATCGAATAATTGCAGTAATGAAGAACTTCAGATGCTTCACTAAACTTTTATGTGCAACTCTGCATTTACCTTTTAGGCTTTTATGCGGAATTGTTGTATCGGCACTTGCCTTTACTTCGATCTTCAAGAACCACATCGACCGGATAGATATGGATCTGAGGGGGCTGAGGTCCAATACTAGCAGTAGAGACTCAGAAAGAAATCGAATAGGGAGTGCAGCTATAATATTGCCTTTGATCAAAATCAAGAAAAATCACATCTTTGAAAAAAGAATTGTGTTAAATCAATAATGTCACGAATTGAAGTTTTACTTTTACCAGAAACGTATTGTCAAGCAAGAACCAAATACTAGGGCACGTAATCATCTTCCAATGATGGTCTAGTTCGAGTCTCCAATGCCACTGGCGCCTTCGTAAATCCAACATTTGCCATTAGCAAGGGCTCCCCTCTCTCTGCTGCTTCCTCCATTCTTTGTATGTTTCTTCGCCGTCTATACTTCCTCAGACAAGCAAGAAGAATACATAGAAGCAGCAGCAGCAGCACTCCCCCAACCACAGACCCAACGATTATCCAGACTTTGTGATTGTTCTTCTCACCGCCGCCTCCCTGTCTGCTGGTACCTCCACCAGGAGCTGGAGCCAAAGCCGGAGCCGGGGCTGTGAACTCAACCACTATAGAGAAATGGCCTTGTTTTGCAGCAGAACAGGCACTCCGGTTAATTACATTGTCAAATTGAAAAGAGCCATCTAAACCAAAAGAAATACATTTTGGCGACAATCCTTTAGGCACCAGTTGGACGTTCGGAAGGTGGATAGTTATGGGATCTTTGGAAGCTCGGATGTCCAATTCCTGTAGATTTGTGGCTGACAAATTGACTGCATCATAAGCCAAGAGACCCACAATTGGTGCCAAATATGTGTAACCAGGTAAAGGGTAATACAAGGAAGACCAATTTGCCAAGTTGTGATAGACCAACACAAGCCTCTCAACATAAGGTTGCTCCAAAACACCAATTGGAATATGAAATTCTTTATAGCTGTTAACCCCTCTTCTTCTCAAGCTCCCACTTCTCAGCCTCAATGCTGCAACCTTAATCCCTGTCAAGTTGGATGGCACGTTGCCATCGTAGACAATGCCCGTTCTGGGCCGAACAACCAACGCCCTGAAAGCATAGTCTTGAAGTAGTGAATCTAGTGAGCGTGCAGATAATTCGGCAGCTGATTGAGCTCTAAGCACCGGAACAATCCAGAGAATGATGTAAAAATACGCAACAAGAAGCATCAGAATGCGAATAATCTAACGAATCCCCTGAAAGTAACCGCATCCAAAACGCAAGCATTCACGACCACATCTGAAAGCTGCTTTGTCCGATTCAACCACAATGGCCATGCTTTTGTTTCATCAAACCTAGAGGAGGCAAATTAGTGTGGAAATATGTAGAGATTCACTAAAAGCCAAAGGGCTGAAGTATCTCAGACTAACTTACAAAAGAACAGAAGTAATCTTGAACTTGAATGCACGCGTATAAAATCTCTGACAAATAGGTAGAGATATGAGGGAGAGAAATGACACGAATCCTCTTACCGATGCCGGCAGAAAATAGCAGGACAAAAATTTGGGCAAGAAAATGGTAGTGAAGGGCCGGAGGCATTAAGTGTGGCAAGACATTAATGGAAATAAAAAGCAAGTGGAGGGCAACTAACCACACACTAATACAGTCATACGCACACAAAACAGAAACACAGCTGTGTCGAGACAGAGAAGAGAGAGTTGCGGTGTTCAGCGTCCACCCCTACCGCTTGTGGAGTATTTACTCATCTCCTACCCACTTAAATTCGGACATGTCAGCCAAGGATTAGACCATGAAAGCTGAGTAGGTAGGGACCATTGCCGCCTTCCTTTACGAGTGTGGAGTTTCCTTTATTCGTTCTTTTCTTCTTTTTATTGTGGTGAGAACTTGGAAGTGGAACCCCAGCACCAATAATCCATGAACAACAGGGGCAGATGGAGAGGGAGATAGGGTTGAGAGATGTTTAGAGTGGTTTGGGGAGAAGAGCCGAGCTAGCAACCACCTAATGTTACGCTAAATTGGCATAATGCATATGGCCAATCAATTTACAAATGATAAAGAGACAATAAAATGAGAAAAATAAATAGTTAGGCAGGACCACTTGGACCTGCTTGATGGAAGAAAAATACTACTGAAAGCCATCGTTCAGGGTGTCTGGCTCAGCCTCGTGGTGGTCCTTGTGAATTTCTTTTTGCTACCATTTTGTGGAAGGATCTCATGTGTCTAAAATGTGACTACATTGCGATTATACCCTTAAACAATATAAAGGGAGGAAAAACATGGAATACTGCTCTAAGTTAGACGCTTAGTGGTGACCTCTTGATTGCTCGCAGATAAAGCATTTCTTCTGTATCTTTCACGGGCAGCTAGATTTCCATTCTGCATTTGGCCTTTTTCCTTTCTACGTCAGTCTTCGCTGTTCTTTCACGAGTGCGCCTCACCTTAGAAGAATGGGCAGCCTTCTGTTTAGCGGGGTTCTAAATTCTCAGCAACCGCATGCTAGGTCTAGCTGTTAACCTTCTGCTTCATCAGCTTCGCAAAGTTCAAGAGCCAAACCACCCTTATGGTCATAATGCTGAAGTAGCAGCGTGTACACATTACGACAACACCGAATAGGGGTATACTACTATCCCAGTGCAACAGAAAGTTAAACATGCAACTGAATACAAAAGTTCAAATTGATGCAGTAACCCCTGAAGGTCGTGCTGCCACATTGATCGGAGCTATATAAAAATTTCAAAGATGCAGGAAACGGGAATCTCTCTTGTAAGGTCATGCACAGCCTGCTTAAGACAAAATGATCAACTCAACACACTGCAAATGCAAATAAAAAATCAATAGTAAACACTATAAGCCAAGCCAATTGCAAGGACAATGACCAACCACCTGCAGCTTCACGGTATACACGAACTGAGTGAGTGAGAAATTTCATACAGACAATTACAAGCTTACTTCTAAAACCAGTTACAAGCTTGAGGCCCACCCCTTTCCCTAGGTTTTCTAATATTTGACAACAGACGAAGCACAAAATGCTGTCAACTAAATACTGCAATTGCCAATCATGGAGATACAATGCCCAAAAAAATGCAAGTAGGAAAAGAATCAATTAATATTATGCCGATACAAACCTCTGTTGAAGGAGAAAAATCAGACAAAGTCCATCCAAGCAAATAAATTAGTGTCTCCCCAGATCTTCATTTGGCATAGGGATATAGGAACTAAGTGGGGTGACAGATTGGAAGACATCTTTGGGCTCCGAGGATGGAACTGGATGCACCGCAATATCGCGAGTCACTAATGGAGTTGCATCATGAGAAGCAAATGGAGATGCCAGAGGCAGTGGTAATGAAGGTGGCGTTGTTCCAAGCGATTGGAGATTAGAGGTCGAAGGCACCTTAACAGGGTAAACTTCAGTGACCTCTTCAGTCCCTTCATCAAGGTACACAACATCCTGCATGGTAAGCTGGTGGTATTCGACAATCTCCCTCAGAAAACGGTTCTCCCGTGCAAAAACAGAATTCTCTTGAGCCAGGCGAGCTTTCTCAGCTAAAAGTGTCTCAAGTTGAAGCCGTATCTGTTGTCAAATGTTACTATTAGAGCTAATAAAATGTTGAAACAATCGATTCAAATAATGTTTTCTATTTGTTTTTGTTTACAGATGCAGCAAAAACTATTACTATTAATTAACATAATAAATAGAAAGGAAACTCCTCCTCCCCCGGAACCAACCAAACAACATCTGCAAAAGACTTTGAGGGTGGCATTTAAATTCTTCTTTCCTTTTATGTCGGTGGAAGGAGGGGAGAGAGAACTTTGATTTCTGGGACATCAGATAACCTAATTGCCATAAAAAAACTAAATGTGATGTACCGAGGCAAAAGACTTGCTAACTCCATGATGCTCTGCCAGCCTCTTTCCTATGAGTAAAATGAAGGTAGCATTAATGACAAAGATCTCTGGGGAAACCACTACAAAAAGATTGAACATATGGGAGGATCCGAATGAATTCTGCTTTCATTTCCCCCGTATCGAGCACTGGCAGGCTGCACTCTAGGCAGCTAGGATGGCTCGCTAGACCAGCAGCCAGACCAAGAATGAATGTGTAATGAAGGTATGATGTGCAAAAGTATAGTACTTTGTCTGAAAAAATCCCTATTTTTTGGACTTTAGAGGCAAAAAAAAATGCAATATATAGAAATGAAAGTTGAAACATTTCCTTTATTATTATTATTATTTTTTGGTTGGGGGGGGGGGAGGGGGGGTTTGATCGGGCTGGTGTAGAGACACAGCATGAGAGTGTACCAAATCATCATCTTCTGGGTTGTCTCCTTTTTCACGACTTTCTCTGAGAATTCTATTTTCTTCTTCCAGCTGAGCACAGCGCTCTTTAGCAAAAGCTAGGTCTGCTTTGACAGTCTTCAGTTCCCGTAAAAGAAGTTTTGCCTTTGCAGCCATTGCCATTGCGACCTGTGTTTTGACGCAATGAGAATGTAATGCACCTTGCAACTGTTAACAACAACTTAGAATTGAAATTAGAAAATTTCACCTAAATATACAAGAATTTTTTTATAAATGAGCTATTATCGAATCACCTTTCTTTCTTGTTTAGATTCCTAGTTTTATTTTTTTGGGAACATGTAAGCTTCATTAAAAAGACAAATATGTTACAAAACAGGAGGAAGATCCTGAGGGATGTCCAGAAAAGCCTGAAGATCAATGGAGAAAGGAGATAATTAAAGCAAATTCTTACTCTTATTCAAGTCTTAGCAGTATTAAACATAAGGAAGGTCAAGGCAAACGAGCAGAAAAACAGATTATTCTAAAGCTCAAGGACCAATTGGGCATGAGAAAATTGAAAGTAAATGAACGATTACAAGTACCATAAAAGAACTGAAAAACAAGAAAGAAAACTGAACGTAAAGGATAAAGGGGCCATAAAGAACCAAAAACCAAGAAAATGCTCAATTTGCTTCTAGATATCAGAATTTAGTGTGTCAAGGGTGATAAAACCTAGTTTAGACAAGCAATAGAAGAAAATTGAGTTTAGATCAATCTATGGCATCCATGATTTTTGAAACTATCATCTAGAAAATAGGGATCTAAGCATTTACAATTTTATAAGCAAAAACCTTCTCATGATCCGTTTAGCTTCCACAATACCTCATAAAGAAGAGGAAAGCCATATCATAGAACATAAAGTTGAATTAACTCCTAATCCTTTCCACATTATTTTAGTATTCCCCCACCCCCAAAAAAAAAATTCATGTGGTTGATTTTAGAAACCAACCAGAACAGATGTTGAACTAGGTTTTGGGCCGCGGGCGGGCCGGGGGGGGGGGGAAGGGAACAATTATACCTTGGCTAATAGAGCCAAAAAACCCACCGTCAAATGCTAGAATCTTCTCAGAAGACCAACTTATACCATATGAAAGAAGCAATCAAAAAGGAAGGTGAGCAGAAAAACTGCTAGACAAGATATGATAATTTATTTTTACAAATTCATGAAATTTTTAAATGCACTATGACAGAGACACATAGAACAACTTCAAAGTAACAAACAAGTCTAAATAACAATAGACATCCCCCCTTGATACAATAATTAAAGCTTATACAACCAGCGTCACAGAGTTGGCACCTTACGTCGCGAGATGCCTTCAATTGGATTTCCAATTCTGCATGTGTCTGGGGTTGCAGATGGGTCTGGCCCAATGGTTGTTGCCGAAAACTACCAGTATTTGAAGTCTGGTTCTCAGGGATAGAACCACTTCCTTTTTTCCTTATTTGCAGCTTGCGTGTTTCTTGAATGATGTCTGCAGTGCGATTCTCCACAACTGCAAGACCCTCCTGCAAAAGAAGGGGATTTAGTTGTGGAACACAACAAAGAATGAACATAGAATGTAGACAAACATTGCGTGCAGGTCTAGGATGACTACCAAAACAGTTGTCCCCTGGAAGCTATTTGCACACGGCTTTTCAAAATTGTAGAGGTGCTAGATCAAACTATACAGAGTAAAACATCTGATCTTCAAATTTTTTTTTAAGGATCAACAAAAGGTCTTACTTGTTACATTACACTTTAGAAGGATCGATGCACATAAGCCCTCATCAAATGCCATATTAGTATTGAAATGATGTTCACATACAGAACCTTCAGCAGTTTTTTAAAGAAAAATCAAAGAATACACAGAAGCAAAACTATGAAAGCAACTCATATTATGCAACATCATAGCATGGTCAGGTCAAGACTTTTAGGCAGCCTCCTGATGCTGCTTATAAGGAGATAGAACTACATAAACAATTGTCCAAACTCTTAACATTAAAGTCATCCCCGAATTGGCATGAGGAATCACACTGCATACAGAAGAACTACAATTGTTCAAAACCAAAGCATTTGTGCAGAAAAATAGAGAAACCTACTTCTAATGCATTTCCAATCGTCCCGCCAATGTAATTAAGCGAAGAAGCCAGTGCACCTAGTCCCTTTTGTAAAGTAGGGCTGTCTTTCTTCGGACGGCTTTCAGATGACGAGTATGTCCCATCATACTGCAAACAGGTGAAGGGACAACATAAAATAACAGAACAGTAAGGGCTACCCTAAAGGTTCTTTACAAAGAAAAAAGCAAATGATATGCTATGTAAAGACAGTTCATATGAAAAATTTTGGAATATTATGGCAAAACGTGTTAACAGCATATAAAAGGAGAATCATAAGGGTTGTTCCCAAATGAGTGTAAATGGCTTTTAAAATTCTTGAC